TCCTCAGTCGCTTTGCCTGGAGCCCACCCTTTGTGTCCTCCGGTTACCGCCTGACCTGTGGTTTCGTTTCCCCGCTCCTCTCTGTGGCTCCAGAAGCGTGTGCAGCACACTGTGGACCTCAGCACAGACGGTTAGAGCAGGACTCAAGCTGCTTCTCCCCACTGGCCAAACTGTGGAGTGAGGCAGCTGGTCGACGCAGAGAAGTGTTGGCCAGGCTGCACAAACGCCCATGTGACAGGCCAGGGCTGTGTTGCTGAGGGGCTGGATCAGCTACTGTTCTGACTATTCCTTCAGGGTCCAGGGCCCTTGGACTGTGTGGACTGGCGGATGGCTGTGGAGATGCATAAATAGGATCAGAATATTTCACTCCGGACAGAATGCCGACCTGGTCTGTTTTTGACTTGGACAGAAAAAGCCAAGAGGTGGAAACCAATGTGCGTCGACTTCCCACAAGCTCGTGGGCACCGTGTGAAGCATTTTACCCTCACTTTAACTGAGTCCTTACATAAATAACCCTGTAAGATGAGCATTCTTTTCCCCATTTTACTGTAAGGAAACTGAGGCTCAGAAAGGGAAAGTGACTTCTCCGAGGTCACATTGCTGGGAAATCAGAGACAGGATTTACACCTGGATCTGATCCTCACCCTTACACTTTTATACCAGTGGCCCTAAACTTTAGCGTGCACAGAATCACCCGGAAGGCTTGTAAAAACAGCAGGGCCAACCCCCTGTAGGCATAGCGTGGGCCCCTGAAGTTACGTTTCTAAGAGGTTCTCAGGTGCTGCTCCACCAGCCCAGGGGCCTCACTTTGACAACCGCTGGCCTAACCACGGTGCCCCCATTAACCAATCCATAAGTGTTTCTTGAGCACCTACTGTGTGCCCAGCCCTGGGCCTGGTTCTCTGGGGACACAGAGAAGGAAACAGCATTGACCTTGACCTCATAGAAGTGAGATTTTGGAGGAAAGAATAATCAACCCATGAAAAAATCGGAGGAAAATAGCAGGTAGTGCCTCCTGCAGGGGAAGGCCACGTGGCCTGGATAGCAGGTGAGGAAGGAAGCAAGAAAGGCCAGAAGAGGCTGGAAGAGGCAAGGCCGGGGCTGGGCCTTGTGAGACTGGAGAGCTGCGGGGAGAAGGGCAGGCATCCAGGGAGCAAGTGTGCAGTTAGCATCTGGGGAAACGCAAAGGACTCCGAGCAAACCGGCCTGTGAGACAGGGGCCTGAACGATGATGATTATAATGATACCAGCATCTGCCACTCACCCAACCAGGAGCACACGCCACCAGCCAATGGACAGAGCTCTTCACAAATACCGTCAAAATGAATCCTCAAAAGACGTGGATGCAGTTGCTAATAGCTCCTCTTACAGCCACTGCTCTCTGCTGCTTCTAGACCTGGACTCGAATGTCCGGTGACGGGACTGAAGTTAGACAGACGGACGTCACCTGATTAACTAGACTGTGTTTCTGGGGTAGAAGGAGAGAAACAAGAGTGGGAGCGTGACCTGCTAGCCCTCTGCCTGCCACAGGCACGTGTTTATGCTGCTAGAACGTGGAAGAGGTGCCTAAGTGGCTTTTAGCAATTGTAAGGAAAGATTCATCTTCAAGTCAGAAATACTTGACCATTTGGTCCTATCTAGTGTTTTTCTTTCCAAACAGGCCGACAGTTGTCTTGAAGGGAGAAAAATTAAACAGCAGACATTTACATAATTGCAGGGCCCAAGTGAGTGAGATAAATCCTTCAGAAGGGGTTTTGTCAGCCCTTTACATATTATGTTCGGTGGAAAACCCTGCCAGCTGGATGTCCCGTGACGGAGGGGTTCTACGGCCACATGAGACTGGGAAAGTCTGCATCCTGTGTCCCGCTGTCGAAGTGACAAAGCATCTTTCCTAGACTAAAGGCTCTGTAAAGGTCTTCAGCGCAGAAATCAGCTTCTTTCGGTGTTAATTCCTCATATCCCAAACTTAGTCAATTGTGAGCCATTTCTCTTTTGACCACCAAATGCTCTATGGAGCTGAGCCCCATGGCAAACACAGTGAAACACAGGGCTCTGTGAATGCTGGCTGAGACCCCTAGAAGAGTTCACGGCACAAGGACAGCGGAGAGAACCTTTATCTCGCTCCACATCTCGTGGCCTGCAGGCTGGGTGCCTTGGACGTGCCCAGGGACGATTCCATAAGCCACAGAGCTGAGGCAAAGTGAGCTGTCAGAGAATGTCCAGGGGCTGGAGTGTGATGGCTCCAGCACAGACTGCCTATAGAGCCCAGAAAACAATTGCTGTCTGGCAGGGGCAGCACACTGGGCTCTGGGGAACATAAACTGCCCCACATGGGGAGGTCTCATCCAGCTGGGTCCAGAAGTCCTGGTGGCTCCAGTGGAAATGTAAGGAAGAGTCTGTCAGAAGTGACCTGTGTCTTGGGCAGCCATGGAAAGTGCATAAACTGGGGTGGTCTGACCTGCTGATGGGATGGCCCCCCCAGAGGTTGTGGAGCGCAGCTCTGGCCTGGAGATAGGCCACCTGGCTTCAAATTCCACCTCTATTGCTTCCTCACGACGTAACCCGGGACAAGTGACACAGCTTCTCTGACCCACTTTCCTCCCTGGGAAAATGGAGATAACATAATACTTAGCTCACGGGTTTGTTGGGAGAATAAAGTGCGTAAGGTTTCCCAAGGGAGGTTCCACCACGGGACACCATTCCTGGTTGGGTCCGAGGCATGTCTTAATTACCACTCCAAATATTACCAAGGGTCCACACAGCATGGCCCCCAGATTCACCTTACCTAAAACTTAGCTCCTATGTTCCCTCATAAAATTAATTCTGTCTCTGATTTCCCTGCCTCTTGCCTTGGTCTCCCAAGCTCAAAACCACTATTTTCTCCACCCAACTTGATTCCTCCACACATCCACCCATTTATCAAACCCTTGTGATTGCTTTTTATGCTGTGTATGCTTAGACAAGTCACTTAACCTCTCTGGGCCTCATGTTGTCACCTATGACATGAGGAGCAGGTGTTTAAATAGTGGCTTTCAAATTTCTTAAACCATAGAAGTCTTTTTCCAGAAAGCCCCCTGTGAGGAAATCCAAGATCTAAAATGACCCAGAGATTCTGAGTCTGGGGTAAGGCCCAGAAATCTGTGCTTTTTACATCTTCCTAGGTGATCCTGATGGGCAGCCCGCTTTGGGACCCATTGGTGAATTCTTAGACATGGCAGGTTCTCAACAAATAGTAGCGAACAATAGTTGAGCAAGACCCTGGTCTTGATGCACCAGCTCACGCGCACTTGAACCTGTTTCTCTCTTTAACTTAGGATATAGCTGTGTAATCCTTTTACCTCCCAGGCTACCTGATGGTACTTGAAATTATTATCTTATGACAGAAGCTGACTTTATACAATTTAGGGACCAAAAGACCAGTCAGGGCCCTTCCCCATGCAAATGGGATTCTGTTGCGGGTCCCCAACTGCAGTCAAGTTGCCCACCCAGAGTGAAGTGCAAGCAGCCAGCTTAGGCCTCTCTTTGGTCCTTTGGGAGGAGAAGAGTGATAGTGACCAAAGAGAGATTCAGAAGGAAATGAGGAGATAGGGTGAGCGAAGCGATGCTTGGCTACAGCAGAAGGACAGCAGAAGGGCTGGGGGTACAGCCAGCAAAGATATTAATTCTCCAAATTGACAGGAGTTCCCTGAACTGTTGGTCACTCCTGGTCTCACTCACGGGCACAATAGTATTTATCCCTACGAGACGGTGGAGAGAAGTTTAACCACTCACTTACCAGAGAGATGCGGCTGGAGTTCTCAGAGAAGCAGCACTCAGTGTGTCTAAACTGTTCTCAGTCTCGACATCATGATGACCTCGGGTTATGACAGAATCAATCTCAGTGGTTTTGAAACCTTCCAGGTGGACTTTCTAAAAAAAGATTAAAGATTTAGATTAGCGTCCAAAGATAATGGAGAATTCACAGGACTAAAGGAGGTCAAATATGATTTGGCTAGAGACCAGCAGCTTAATAAAGTTCGTCGCAAGTTCTGGAATTATCCTCTGCTTCTAGATCTATTCCAGAGGACAGTGACATTTTATGCACAACCAGAGATTAGCAAGGAGGTGGGCTCAGCGTTTAGCTTCTTACTGTAAAACGCGAAGCTTAGGAAATGAAACACCCCATTGAAGGGGATGCTCCCTTAGAGACTCACTACCAGTTTCTAAGAAATGACTAAGATTTCCTCCAAAATATCAAGGCGAAGAAAAGCTGTAGCTGGAGTCAATGGGGCAAAGTCCTGGTAATTGTTTCATCTGGGTGATGGGTGTGCGGAGTGCATTGTACTTTCCTCTCTACTTTGGTTTGTCTGAAATTTTTCATAATAAAAATAGAAACAGTTATTCATCTTTTCCTTAAAAGAAATCCCTGGGTGAGCGTTTATTAAGTGTTTGGAATACGCTTAAAGCTGTACTGGGGACCCACGACCGAGGCAGAACAGCCTGGCTAAGTCAGCCCCCATGTGCTTCAAAAAGGGCGGTTTGTACGTATCCTTCCCTGCGGTGGACATCAACAAAAGTTCCATCTTTACCCATGATCTAGACTGGTTACTTTTTGTTTTACACCATGAAGACTTCTGTTAGCAGATTCCTAGGAGGAAACCCAGTATGGCAAATAGAACGGAGCTGCAGTGGTGGAGGGGCGTGTCTGCGCGTGTCTGTGGGCGTGTGTGTGTGTGCATGCACACGCACACTGGGGAGCTGCGGCTCAAGGGTGAGCCCTGCCTGCTGCCTCCCCCTCCCTTCAGGGCTCCCGGGAAGGCACCGAGAGACCCCGGGTTTCCCGACAATTGACTGAGAGGCCCAAACTTGTCATGGGTAAGACAACTCTGGTTTCCCACTTAAGCAGAGAAATGTGGCCTGTCCATGATCTGTGTCTCTGGTGCTGAATGTCTGGCCTTGTTAAAGAAATGAATGAGTCTGGCTGAGTACATCATAACCTCCACAACTCCCTTTGCCAACAGATATTGATTTCGCCACCCGCAAGATCGCAGTACATCTGATTCAGACAAAGATCATTGATCAAGATGGCGATAACTTCAAGATGAAAACCAACAGCACGTTCCGCAACTACAATTTGGATTTCACTGTTGGGGTGGAGTTTGATGAGTACACAAAAGGCCTGGACAACCGGACAGTTAAGGTACTGCCCACCGGCTGGCGCTTTAACCTTGTGAACTCTTCATGCAAGGGCCAGCTGTCAGGCTTCCCACTGAAACGATGACAGGACCCACCTGGGAGGGATCAGGCAAGGGGGCCAGATGGGCTTACTGCTGCTGGCAAAAAGCAATGAGCAATTATTGAAAGTTTAGTAGGAAGAGACAAGCTGGCTTCTGCACTACTCTTAAAAGTGAGGAGAGATTAAAGGCCGCTGACCTCTCCAGGACCCAGGGTAGAAGGGCAACTCATATACTCCATGGGCCTGGTGGGCAAAATGAAGAGGGCAAGGCGGAATGTCATCAGTGGGGGCATGGGAACAGTGACGGTGCGAGCTGGATAGCACAGCTTTGTCAAAGGGGTGGCCATGCTCAGCACCAGAAAGCATTGCTGCAGAGGAAGGGGGCCTTACGTTGCCAGAGTTTTTTTCTTCTCAAGAGATGTTGAGAATTCAGATGTTTTTATAGGAGATATCTCAATTTTAGATGAACTCAAATGATGTAATATTTTTTTAGAAAACTGCAATGCAAATCAAACAAAAAAGTCAGTAGACTAAATGAAGTCACGGTGTCTCCAGTCCTAGTAACTTAGAGAAGTCTTTGGCAAGTTTGTGGCTTTTTGCCTCAGCATCACCTTAACTCACAGGACATAACCCGGGAAATCCTCCACACGGCAGAAGGTCAGACTTCCAGCCTCTTGAACTGCTTGGACGTATGGAGGACCCTGAAAGCCAGCAGACAACCCTGAGCACAGAGCGGGCAGTTATCTCAAAGCCCAAGAACTTGCATCTGCAGAAAAGGCAGCCCTCGCCCAGAGGAGCTGTCTGTCCATAAGGCAGAGGATGGCGGCAGCAGGGAGAGGCAGGGTGGTGGTGGAGAGCACAGGTGGTAACAGCAAGTCTCCCCTTCTCTGGCATCACTAGGTGGTATCACAGCCCAGTGGTGGGTTTTTGCAGTGTTCACACTCTGGCTCAGCGCGCCTGCCTTTGGTTTTCCAAATCCAGTTACACTTGGTCATCCTCACAAACAGGAATGGGGGAAATCCAATCTCAGTCATATTTAAGGATTTCCCTACCCCACACTTAGCAGCATACAAGAACCCTGGGGATTACACAGGCCAGGAAACTTGGAAGGGTTTCTGGTTTGTCATTTGGCGTGGTTGCCATTGACGGCTCAGGGCCATGCTCATGCAGTTTATATGAGCATGGGTGGCTTGAATATTGCTAGCACCCACTCCCTCTGCCAACGCAGCCACCAGGACATCTGCTCTGGTTCTCAAGCTGAGAGAGGGCAGGGCTGACTATCCATCCCCAGGGATCCATGCTGTCACCCCCAGCAGAGGGTCGGCTCCTTGGAATGTCACCAAGAAGCAGGACCCTCCACGCTGCCCTCCCCATTCACCACTCTCCCCACTCTCCCCAGGGTGCCACTCTTCTCCAGGGCTTCCAGAAGCTCTTTCAAAGTCAACTCTCCTCCAGAGCAAGGGACTCAGCCTGGCTCCTCTCCTGGGGTGGGGAGGAAGAGCTCTTATCATTCTTTGGTGGTGACTCTAAAGCCAAGAAAGCAGGACACATTTTATTTCTCAATCAAGGTGTCCTGCAGGGTTGATAATCTCAGCCATCAAGTCAAGGCTGAATTATATCTAGTGCTCTTTTTTAAAGAAAAGTGGGAAATGAAAAGCACTTTGGAAACACTTCCATCAGAGCAGCCTCAGCATGAGGGCCTAAGCTTCCGGGCCCTGGACCGGCCCCTTGGAGAAGACGCCCCCGAGGGGTTGATGGATGGATGGATGAGGCTTTTCTGAACTGTGTGGCTGGAAGGGCAATTCATCAGACACCAGAAATGATAGAAAAATTTGTCTCAGAATTTTTGCATCTCTCTGCTGTTCTAACCTAGTCAGTTCAAAGTGATTCATTGTCCCTCGCCTTTCAGTGTTGGGTGTGGGGTGCTGAAAAGCAGGCTTGTCCACTCTGATTCATTCTTTCATCACCACTGATGGTAGCGAACTCACTCTTCTTGAGATAAATCATGTCCTTTTGGCCCTTCCTGACCCTTAAAGGATTCTGTCTGTTAACGCCTGCCCTTCTTCTGCCTCTCCACCTTCCCTCTGAGCCCCGTCCTCTCCCCAGGATCAGCTCTTAGCTCTGCAGAGGGAGATAATCTCCTTCCCCACTTCTTGTCTCTGCTTTGCCTGCAGCAAAAAGTCAGGGCAATACACACACACACACACGTGCACACATGCACACCGAGAAGACTGGTAGGGGCTGAGAAGTACTCAGGACAGATTTACCCAGTCTCTAGTAAAAGATTGTTCCCATGAGAATAACAACACAGAGCAGGTGCCCTTGGGACCACCTACTTCCTATAACTTGACTGGAGCCCTTCAGCTGGAAAGGGACCACAGGGAGTGGGGGTGTCTATTTCTCTGATTAATTTCTGTTGCTCACACTTGTGGCATGCCTGAGTGCACACACAAGCTGTGTGCATGGGTGCAAGTGAGTCTGTGCACAAGTGTCTGTGTGCATATATGTGTGTGTGTGTGCATGCACACATATGTGTGCATGTGTGTAGTACTCCTCGTGCTCTTCCCCAGGGCTCCGCTTCTCAACTCCTCGGTCGCCCTGATGAACGCCTCTGAAAATCTCCCCACTCAGCAGTTCGGCTGAGAGGTGTGTATGGGGCGGGGTTGCAGCCAAGGGCCTACAGGGCACCCAGTTCTCTGCCATCCTGGAGCAGGAGCGATGGACCACATTGATCATGGGGTTGGCTCTTCCCTGAGGGGCCCGGATCAGATATATGTCATATATATTCCTAACTTCCTACCTTGACTTGTTTCTAAGAGGAGTTAAAGCCCCTTTCAAAAATACACGAGCTACCCAAAATAAAATTTTAAAAAAGTAATTAATATTCGTGCCACAGAATATGATGCAGCCATAAAGAGGAATGGAGTACTGACGCATGCTACAACATGGATGAACTTGGAAAACATTACGCTAAGTGAGAGAAGCCAGATACAAAAGGCCACGTATTGTATCATTCACATGAAATGTCCAGAATAGGCAAATCCACAGAGACAGAAAGTGGTTGCCAGGTGCAGAGGGAATGAGTAGTGAATGCTGATAGGGGTTTCTTTAGGGTTGATGAAAATGCTCTGGATTTAGATAGTGGTGATGGTTTTACAACCTGTGAATATACTAAAACTAACTGAATTGTATACTTTCAAAAGGTGAATTTTATGGTATGTGAATTTATCTCAATTAAAAAAAATAAGTAATTGAGGGAGATTGCAAGGGCAGGGAAAAGCAGATATGAACGATGGCAGTTAGAGCCAATAATGCCACTGTGAGGTCGGGAGGAGCCAGGGGCGACCCCAGGAGAAACCGCCTCCTCCAGGAGGGCCCCCTCCTCAGGGATTGCCAGAGGGGATGGCAGGCACACAGGAGTAACTCTTGTGTAAGGGCAGGTGCGCTGGGGAGGGTTTAAACATATTAATAGTGTCCTTCACTGCTCTTAATTTGAAGAGCTATTTTCCTTTAAAAAAACAAACTTATTTGGGAGTGATTCAACTTTACAGAAAAGTTGCAAGAATATAACAAAGAACCCCTGCACACTCTTTACCAAGAGTTACCTAGTGTTAACTTTTTGCCACATTTGTTTCCTCATTTGTACACGTTACCTTCAAATAATGCAGTCTGTATTTCCCAAGACTTAGGATAGTCTCTTACGCAACCACAGCATAGCTGTCAACTTCTATAAATTGAACAATGAGCAGTGCCTGTATCTAATGCATCAGAAAGGGCTGTTTGTGATGACGTTGACATTGGATGCTGTGACGGGAAATTGCAGCGTGGGCCCACCTTCCTTCTTTAATTCCCTGCAAGGGCATCCACCCTGGGGACGCTGTCCTTCTCCATGCCCCAGCTCAGAAGCAATGGCTTTCCGCACTGATACTCATCTCCTCAACCTCAAGATCTTTCGAGGCAACTGAGCCTCCTCTGATCCAGGGCTGAAGGACACCAAGTAAAAGCAAATTGAATTGTGGTATTGTAGTTCATTTAACCACTCTCCTCTCTCTTCTTCTCATTTTCTGTTTTATGTAGGAGTAAGGCTATAATAGTGAAGGTATTACCGTGATTCATGGGAAACCAATTTACTTTAGGGTCAGGATACCTTTTACTCTTGCTGCCCAATATGGGTTATTAAGATGAAATATTAGGACAGGCCCCCACGCACTAACGTTTTTCTGCTCTGTTTCTTCTACAAAGTTGGGTAAGTCCCTGCTGCACGTGAGGCTTGGGTCAATGAGTCAGACCCTCCTCCCTGCCCTCAGAGCTCTCACAGCCTCATGAGGAAGCAGACAAGAAGACGGACAGTTTACCATCTAGCGTCCATATTGATGGACACATGTGTACACCCGTGGTACCCTAGAAACCAAGGCAAGGAGGTGGGCTGGCTGAGTTGCTGTCAAAAACTATCCTCAATGAAGACTACTGACGTGCTCGTTTATCCCCCTGTGGATTTACCTCAAGATTCTGTTTCAGCAAAATCTTTCCATCACAGATTCACTCAACAATGCTTACCAAGCACCCCTATGGGCTGGTGTCTGCACCGAGTCTGGGGTTGCAGAAATGACCAGCTGACATAGCCTCTCCTTCCATGGAGCTTATTGTCTAATGCGGGAGACAGACGTGAATTCAACCAACATGTATTAGGTGTCAGTGTGTGTAAGGCAACCTGGGACTGTGGGGCTTATGAGACTTAGTCCTTGCCCGAATGGGAGCCATGAGTCCTTCCTCATCTGTCTGGGAGGATATTCAGAGGCCGAGGCCAACAGTGGGCAACCACACATGAATATTCCAGACGACATCTCCTTCCCAGAAGAGCAAGGGGAGCAACCTGGGAATTAAGCTTCTCCAAGACATTGGAAGATGTGAGGCTTAGAGTGGCCCTGAAAGAGGAGGAGACATGTTTTCTTTAGAAAGCCTAGAATTTTATTTTGAAATTAATTTGGGGAATATTAATACATGCAGATGGTTTTAAAAAAAAAAAAACCCGAACAGTAAAAAGCAAAAGTTCCTTCCCATCCTTCTCTCCCCGGGGACAATCACCATTACGGCTTCTTTCACCTCCTCGCAGAGAAGCTGTGCAAGCAGAGCGTGCACAGGCGCCCCCTGTTGTTTCATGCACATGGCCCTGCTCTTCACTCTCTTACCTGAGACTGCTCACTGTGGAGACCGCTCTTCTCCTAAGTACAGAATCACCTCCTCCTCTCCAGGGCAGCAGAGCAGCGACGCAACACACCATATTTAACCAGCCGCCCGCCGACAGGATTTATGAGGCCTCCGGGCCTTTGCTGTAACAAACAATGCTGCGATGTGTTGAGGAGTAAAATGAGGAGGAGTAAAACTGTACATGAAATATGTAATATGGGCAAGGTCAAATATTATTTTAGAAATAGGTAGACTTAACAATCTGTAGAAAACAGATTTGTACCAGAAAAACAGATGTGAATGTGCAAGGACAGTGAACAAAAAAAACACAGGGCAGTTTATCACCAACTGGGTTTACAAGACGCAGAAGAGAGGAAACGTCTGGTCCTTAGCATAATATTGTTCATAGAGGCACGGTAAGGCTTGCACGCACTGGAAGAAAACCACCTAGCCTCAGGGTCATTGCCGAGGAAGGACAGCAATCACACAAACCGCCACCTGATGGGAACGACGTCAGCATCTCAGGAGGTGCGTGTGCAAGCTTACCGTAGCCCTGGAGGGCCACTGGGGTAGTCCAAATTGTCCGAGTCAGGTACTAGGGCACGTAAAGCGAGAACGGAAGGAGGAGGAGTTGGGGGTGTATAATTTGTAAACGGATGCACAGAGGTTTGAGTCTCTTGGAGTTCAGCAGGCTTGTGGCTTCTCCGACCTGTTGGTCAGCTCAGCCTGGTTGTCCAGCACCAGCTCTGCATCTCTGCTGCCGCCTCTGTGCAGCTAACAAGTCAGCACTGCTGCCTGGAGGAAAGCCAGGACCGGGAGATGGCCCACCTTCCTGGGTCTGGATGATGAGGCTGGCCCTGGAGCGGTCTGCACGCCCGCCCCCCGCTGGTTAGGCGGCCTCCCGCCCTTTGTGGTTGCCCTTCAGTGGTAGTCCTCCCAAAGTGATTCCTGTAGGGAAAATTCCCAGAAGGAGAATTTCGTGGTCGGAGTATACACAATGTTACATTTTGAAATGTAATATAAAATTGCCCTGTGAAAAGATTCGTTCCGATTTATGTGCCCACCAGCCATGTATGAGGGCAGCTGCTTCTCCACACCAGCACCCCACAATTCCGTGTGTTATCAGACTCTTTGATCTTTAACCAGATGATGAATTCTATCTGAAAAACAGCCTTAATTTACATTTCTCTTATTATGAGTGAGGTTGAATATCTTATGTTTAAAAGCCATCTGCTAGGGATTTTTTCCCCCCCTGTAAGCTATTGGTTCGTGTCCTTTATTGAATTTCCTATCAGGTTAATGATCTTTTTCTTGTTGATTTACAGGAGCCCTTTACATATAAGGTCTTTGTCTGATGTGTGTTACAATTATTTTTCCCAGTTTGTTATTCGTCTGCTAACTTTGAGGTACTTTCCCCTTCCAGAAATTTTACATCATTATGACAAATAAAAATGGCAAGTAATAGGATATATTGGAATATATGAGGAAGCCATTTGGTGTAAACCTAATTCGGCCTGACCTTGTCTTTCCAAAAGGGCCTGACCGAGGCCGTTGAGCATGCATTGTCTATCTGCTTTAGATATTCCGTATGGCAAGAGCAAAGGCCCTTGAGATAAAGGTGCAACTTCCTTCCCCCTCCCAACATTGGCGTCTCCTTAAGGATTAAGCATCTTTCCTTAGGCTAGAAACTGATTGCTGCGCTCACCTGTGACCTCCCAGCTTGAGACAATAGACTTGCCTCCTGCTACGCCCACCAAGATAGCAGACCACTACCTGCTGTGTCCATCAAGCGCTGTGCCGACAGGGCAATCTTGTGACTATTGTGGGAGGGACATTTCAATCATATGTGAAACACCCTCTTTGAGGGTATATAACCACCCTGTGTACCCCCACTTCTTTGGAGTGCTTTGTTCCTTTGTGGAAAGACTCTCCTGGGTTATAATCCTAAAATTTAAGCTCAGAACAAACTCACCCAAATTTTCATTTATAGCTTGGTTATGGATTATTTTCGTCGACAGTTCCATAGTCAAATTCATCATCTTTTCCCCCACTGATTTGAAAGGCTGCTGTCTTTACCGAGCGGTAAAATAGAAGAGTGGAATTCTTTAAAAGAGAACAGAAATAGCCAGGATGAGCCGGTTTGGCTGGAATGGAGGGTGTACGTGGAAGTGGGACTGGATGGATCTCAGCTTGGCTGGGGCTGAGGGCTCTGCCCCGTGGGCAGGCAGGGGCGCAGGACTGGCTGCAGGGTCACACTTGTTCAGTCCCAATCAAGACCATACGTTTGATTTGCTCGGGAATCTGTCATTGCAGGCGCTGGTCACCTGGGAAGGTGATGTCCTTGTGTGTGTGCAGAAGGGGGAGAAGGAGAACCGTGGCTGGAGGCAGTGGGTTGAAGGAGACAAGCTGTACCTGGTAAGCCCCCAGAGTCTGCCCGGCTCCCTTCCACTGTGCTTACACCGACTGCGGGTTCACCTAGCCAAGGGCTTTGACAAGAAAAATGGCCCTGCCCTCCTCCCCTGAGCTCCAGCCAAATGCGTGTGGTCATATAGTCAGAAAACCATTCCCCTCTGGCTCAGGGGACTCCGGGAAGAAATCTGTATGGCTGTTTCTGTGAACGGCTGCAATTAAAACGAGAGTCCAAACTGCTGAGTTAGGGAGCCGAGATCCAAGGAGAAATGCAGGGACCCTGTTAAAGACCGGCTGGGGAGAGATGCGAGGCACAGAATTAAGATGCCCTGGAGGGGGTGGGACCAGCCTCCTCGTGGTTATGTGAACCTGGAAGAAGAGGGGTTGGGGTGGGGTGGAGGTGGCAGGGACAGGAGGCAGCTGGGTCTGGGAACTGCCTGTACACCGCAGGCATTGGCCTCTCATCATAAGGTATGTCCACCTGGCCCCCAAATATTTTAGGTTATTTGGTACTGGAACAGAGCAGTAGGAACAATTGCTGATATCCTTAAATAAATTATATCTGTCTAAATAGCTTAATATTTCAGTCTTCAATCTTCAAGGCAATTTGTGCGTCCAGCATTCAAAAAGTGAAAAATCTCTCACTCCTTCACTCATTTGTTAAATGAATGGCTCATTCAGTGAATGGCTCTTCACTCATCCTTTCACCTACGGAGTCAGGCAGGTACCTGGCTCCAAGACTGTTCAGTCACCATGATGCCCTTCAGAGCCAGCCCTGCCTCACCTGAGGTCTTTATTGCAGAGGCAATGTCAACTGGTGACAAATGAGAGGCATTCATCGTGTTTTCCATCGACGGGTTTCCCTACCTGCTGTGGTTTGGATGATGGATTTTTTAAATTGTAGTACAGTCTCCAGAGGTCCCTGTGGCTAAGACCCTGGATTCATCAGCTGCAATGGTTTCCTGGTCGCCCCCACGCTCCTGTTTTTCTCTCCTCCCTCAGAGGGTCCTGAGCTGTGGACAAGGCCTGAGGGCGCCCTGTGTCCGGATGGAAAGCAGCATCTTGTCTGCACAGGCAGGCCTGGGGAGCCCTTCCGCACCCTCACCCTGTCATTGCTGTGCCACCACCAACCAACATTCTAATCACCAGAGGCCAGAAAGCCCACGGGGCGGAGGGACAGCTCACCAGCCAGCATCTTCGTAGGCCCTTGCCTTCCAAATGCTTCTCCCTACTAGGTCTTTCCCTGCCCCATGGCTTCGCTGCCTTGTATAAATTAGGTGAGGTTGCTTTAATCATGAGAGTAGGAGAAATCCCGCCCCAGAGGGTAATTTCTTTGCATTTTTCATTTTTATAGTTGTTCAAGCTCAATTCAAGTGTCAGAATGGAATTACTGCTACCTGCAGGGCATGCCAGCTGATTGGGTCTGGGAGACGCACTTTGCCCAGAATAACGAACTGTCCTCTTCATTCCAGCTCCACCCCCTCAACTCACAGACACCAAGAGGGCGGGGGCTGGGCAGAAGGAAGGCCTGACTTGTTTGTCACGCACCCGCTTTCTGACGTTGCAGGAGATGACCTGCGGTGACCAGGTGTGCCATCAAGTGTTCAAAAAGAAGTGATGGCTGAGAGGGGGCCCGCCGAGCATGTGCTCCACGCTCCCCATGAAGAGTTCTCTCCAGGCTTTGGGTAGCAGCTGCCAGACCCTCCCACTGCTGACAAGGCCCAGAAAGGCACCTGGATGGGTTTTAAACAGAATGAGTGTGTAACACTGACAGACATGTTGTTCCTTCTTTGAAACCTGGCATTAAATGAAGAAACAAAAGCCACTCCTGCACTTTGAAACCCTTTATGTGTCTCCCTTTATTCCCAGACCTGTCAGTTTTATCCACAGTCGGAATAGGTGATTTCCTGCACAGTGGTTTTCTGTGGGGCTTTTGTTGTTTATTTTTTAGTTTTGTTTGGTTTTTGTTAGTTTGTTTGGGAGGTTGTTTTGCCTGGAAACATTCTCTGGCCAACACAGCATCCCCTACTAGTTTTTGAATATTGCCTATTTGAGATTCATTCCTTTAGATAGCACATTCATTTCTCCAAGATTCTATTTTAAAATGCTATGTCTTCCAGTTTGTACTTTGCTTGAGCAGCAGGGGCAGAGCTACCTCTGAAGGCCTCTGCAGGTCTGCTGTGCTGGCTGCTCTTGGTCCAGACCAGCCCTCTGCCCTTCAGCCCTGGGCAGTCTAGAACTCCTGCAGAGGGGTCACCAAGCACTGCCAGGCAGCCTGAGTTCAAGTCCTGCCACTCCACTTCTTAGCTGGGTGACCATAGGCACATCACTTGCCCTTTCTATCCTTACTTTTCTCTTCTATAAAATGGAGAAGACATAAATAACATCTCCTCCCCTGGGTCACTGTGGGGATTAAGCAAGTTACTATACACAAAGCGCCGGGAATGGGACCTAGTACCTGGTAAGGGCTCAGTCCCACTAGCTCTGATCACTATGTGGAGTTACTTCCTCCACAAGCCCAGGGGTCCAGATGAGGAGATGCTAAGTAGCAATCGGTCAATACCTCCAGGGACTCCTGGTGCTTCCAGAACATTAGGTTCGCTGGTCTGAGCAGCACTGTATTTTCCTGCTGGATACACACGTGGAATAGTGACCTGGAAGAGCAGAGTAGTTACTAGGGGTGGATTTATGGTGGCTCATTCATGGCATCCTGGGAAGGCACTGCAGGTTAAAGCCGTCTCCTTCACACACACACACACACACACACACACCCATAGCATAGCAGGGCCTGGAATCTGACCATTAGGCAAGCATTGCCTTTGAAAAGTAGGTTTATCCCACAATGGATCGCATGTGGTGTTAGCACACACTGGATAATTTGAATGATCAGATCGTGCATCGATCCTGAGCATCCAACAATGGGATTGGGGCTGGAGAGAAAGACTACAACCTGGCCATGTGGCCCAGGGCCAGCCTTGGCTCAAGCCCTTGTGACAGGAGGCCATGACATGGGCCTCCTGGCAAGCTGTGGTCCCCAACAACCATGCCATCCATGTTCCTGTGGCCAGAGTCTCATGCCGGCTGGGGACCTAGCGGAGGTGGGGGTCCCCCCATGGGCACTGGAGAGGAGGGGAGGCTCCTGAGGAGGGGCAGGTTGGTCTCCTGGGGCAGCCTGGGGACTGAGTGGAAGGACTGGTGAAGTGGTCCTTGGTCCCCGTTTTCCCCAGTGCTGCTCCAGGAGCCTCATGTCCCTCAACTGATGCCAGCCCAGCCTTGCCCTTGCCCACCACAGCCTCAAATGACTCTCCTTTGTCCCTCAGGAAAATCCTGTTGAAAGAGATCATATTCAACAGCCCACCAGGACTAGCTATAGAGTGCTCTGCACTTGTCAGGGGGCAGGTTTATCAGTGACTTTTGAGCCCAGGTTTTGCAAAATGCACTCTAGAGCATATTAGCCCCCCAAGATTCTGTGGAAAGGTTCATGGTCAAATGAACTTCTGAAATGCTGGGAACTGTGTCCCCTTTGTAGAAATTCACAGTGAGAGTTAGTGTTCTTAAAGCTCTGAAAATTCCTGCAGCCAAGAAGCCCCGCCTGACCCCTGGGACCCGCTTTACCCAGGAGGGTTCACGGGCACGGGGTTTGGAAACACTGTGCTCGTTCCTTGCAGTCGCATGGCCCTTTTTCCATTACAGATAACAAACACTGTCATTTAGAGCTCCCAGTTTCCAAGTGGGATTTGCTCAGTGCATTTTCTCCGTAAACGGAGAGTGACAATGAATTAGTTAACATATGGTGTGAAAGACGGACTGTGGCCTGTTCATTCTACTGATGATTCCTTTTCAACAAAGATGGATCTGAGCTGAGAAGCGGTCAGGTCTGAGGTGCGCATGTTAAAGCCGGGGCAAATATTCCGGCCAGGGCCTGCCCTCCAGTCCTGCACTCACTGTGGAGGAGAGAGGGCAAGTCGTCACTTCACAGCTCTGTTCCCTCAGCCTGTTTCCAAACCAAAGCGTGACAAAGGCATCCCCCGGCACTGACAGGGCTGTCTGGGAACAGAGCGGAAGGGGTCACCTTTAAAAACCTGTCTGAGGCTTATACTGAGGAGCAGTGGGCTGGCGGGGAGGACTCTCAGAACCTCAGAATCCCGGCCTCCAGGGGCTGTCATGAGAGAGGTCGGGGTTAGCTGTAAACCAGGGGGCATGATCTTGAAAGTTGAAGAAAACCCATCCCATGAAGATCCCGGCTCAGAAATGGGCAGCATTGCAGAGCGGCTCGCAGGGACTTCGGTGTCAGCCCTTGGTCCAAATCCTGCCCTGCACTCTCCAGCTGTGTGACTATGTGGCAGTTACTTCCTCTCTGAACCTCCGTTTTTCTATCTGTAAAATGAGGAATATGGAACCTGCTTCATAGCGGGTAGAAGGGATTGAATGAGATCTTAGCACAGTCACTGAAGCATCAGTCAATACCACATGTATGTATGTGTGTGTCCATGTATATACATACACATGTATATGTGTGTGTATATATACATACATAGACATAGACACACACACACGTATACACATTCTCCTCCCCAATCCCACATCTCACACTTAGTGATTCCCTTCATTAAAATTCTTTGCTTTCTAAAAGCTTTAACACTGAGACCCCTTACTACAGTCCTTCTCAAATTTGAAGATCACCAGGAAGACTTATTAAAAACACAGATCTCTGGGGCTGGGCCCCTGGTGCAGCGGTTAAGCTCGTCGCTCTCAGCTTCAGAGGGCTGGGTTCGCAGGTTCGGATCCCAGGTGTGGACCTACACTACTCATCTGCTGTGCTGTGGCAGCGACCCACATACAAAATAGAGGAAGATTGGTACAGATGTTAGCTCAGGGCCAATCTTCCTCACCAAAAAAACCCCGAAACACAGATTCCTGCTCCCACCCCCATCAAGATTCTGGCTCTGAGGTTGTGGGCAGAGCCCAGGAATCTGTTGTTACAAGCTCCCCTGGATGAGTCACCTTCAGGTGTGGGCAAGCACACTGAGGGACCCTGCCTCCTTCAGTTAAAGAGTGATTCCTTTCAAAGGGGCATTCGCCCACGTATGCACACTCTCAAGCAAAAGCCCCATCCATGTCGACAGGTGGCCACAGCTCAGGTGAACTGCCCACGCATCTTTCCATGATGCTGTACCAGGGCCCCTGCCTGTGTGTGCCCAGCCCTGGGGGGAAGTGAGGTCGCACTCTCTGGAGCAGTTTCTTGACCAGGGAGGCATCCACGCCCTGGAGGATGGCGTTGGGTGGTGAGGACAGGGCACACAGGAGGAGGAAGTGTCATGAGCCAAGGCACAAGCCTGAAATAAGCAAAGAGGGTTGGGGAGAGTGTAGCCCTGACCATGATGAAAGAGAGGAGGCCAGGAGCCAGGACGGTGGTTACTCAGACCAGGGTGGGTTGTGTACACCTTGCTGGGCCTCAGTGAGAGGATCGTGGGAGCCAGTGCACGCTTCTGAGTGCAGGGCAACGTGATCGGAGACACGGACCAGGAAGCATGCTCTGGCCACTGTTGGCAGGACCGATGGAGGGGAGGAGAGGGACTCAGTTTCGCCTGTTGGGAGGCTGTTGTAATTGGTAGTTCAGGAGAGAAGCAGCAAGGGACCCATGTCAGGGCAGGGGAGCGGCCGCAGGTAGGAAGGGAAGAGCCTGAGAGTGGCTGGAAGGAGCCCCTGCACTAGGCAGCAGCTGCCCGAAGCTCACAGAGCAGGTGAGGCAGGAATGATGGTTGTGAGCCTGGACAAGAGGGAGCAGGATGATCTTCAACACGGCCTGGCTGCAGAAGGGAGAGGTGATGCTGGAGGGCAGATCGAGGGTTTGGGTTAGGCCTGCTGCATGCGAGGTGACAGAGCAAGGATTGCAAAGGTCAGCCCACCCTCTCCCCATCACCCACTGCCACCCTTCAGGGGCTAAATGTTACCTCGTCATGAACCCACCAGCCCCCACTGGCTGGGAAGGGATGAGGCAGCAGCCAGCAGTCACAGACGCTGCTTCTGAGGCCTGGAAGTGATGATGTCACCAGGGACGAGGGGAGGAAATGGGAAAGGAGAAGAGAGAAGAGGAGGAGAAAGGATGGGTAAGGAGGGGAGAGGAAGAAAGAGAAGGAGAAGAGGATGAGAGAAGAGCAGAACAGGAGGAAAGAATGGGACAGGAGGGGAGGGGAGGGAAAAAGGGGAAGAGAGAAGAGGGGAGAGAGAATGGGGGAAAGGAGAGGAGACAAGAGGCTGGAGGAGGAGGAGAGGCTTGGGGCAGAACCTGCACCCACCATGTGCGAATGCAGACAAGAGAAGATGTGGGGTATGTCTGGACTGACCGTGAGACATAGACCGCAGAGCAACTGCGGCTGAGACAGGCCCCAGGGGCTTTCTCTAATTTTGTCCTCCCCCTCCAAAAGCAGACGGGCTTATGTCAATACAACTGGGCAAGTGCATTTACAGGCACTCCAGAGGCATGGCCTGTGTCCTTAATTTATGCTCAAGGAGAGGCTAATAAGCCTTTAGTTAAGTACCTCCTCAGTCCCAGAACTCTTTCCAGTACTATGAGAGAGGAGCCCATTTTACAGATGAGCAAACTGAGACTCAGAACTGTCACTCACTCACCCAAGATCCCACGGCTGGTAAGTAGCAGAGGCAGAATTTGAACCCAGGTGAGTCTGTCTCCAAAGTCTGAGACCCTCTACACAGAAGGTGGCCCCTGGCAGGCACAGGATGGCCCTCCCCCTGCCTGGACGTCCAGTCCCACCCCAGCAGGCTCTGGACCCCTGGCGTACTCAGGAGACCT